AAAAAAAAAAAAAGTCTACTATATCGACCAACAATGCTACAAAGTCAAGAAGCTACAAGAGCCATAGATTGAAAACTATCGATGTAATTTACACGGTTAAACACAAACTTCTTGTCAAGTCTTAACATATATGTGAATTTTTTTGTGACATGTTTGATAAATGATTGAAGCCAAAACAATTTTTTAATTTGAAATACAGATAAATATCACCAAACTTTATTTTTGCAGGTGTGGTTCTCGTGTTCTCAATCTATTATTTGTGGCACATTTGTTCCAAGCAAATGCAAAACGATTATTTGAACATTAAGCTACCGTGTGACACTCACATAATGACAATGATGGATTGAAATAAGGGGATATATTTCATAAACGCTCAGCGTTTTACACTGTTCATATTTCTATATTAAAGTCAATGTAACAGTTTTGCTTGTTCTGAAATGAAGGAAATATTTTTCTGACAATTTTACCTTTCAAGTCCGAGATCACATTAGTATCACTTGATCATTTAATGTGCCACATGATAAATCTTGACATTGTCATATCCAATTGATTTCAACATGTCAACTAGTCGATGTACTTCTTGAAATAATGTATTAAGTTGATGAACCATATCCATACGAGTTTATTTTGTTTTCAACACATACAATTCAATATCTATATCATTGCAAAAATTTAGAAATTACATATAATATATGTAATATATTATATACATATATATGAGTTTGTGATTAAATTTTTATTTTATTTGAGCTTGTGACTAAATTTTTGTTTCTATTTGAGCAAAATTAACAATTACAATTTGCAGGCAACCATTTTGTACACTTCCTTAGGAATACTACCTACCAAATTGGTTTGTTGTTCATGAAGTCCCCTTGTGGAACAGGACTAAATGGATAATAATTAATATATCCTTTAAAATTGTATGTATTAATTTTTTTAATTAAAATATATAAGGAATATTATTGTACATTATTATACATCTCGACCAAAAAAATAGTTGTGCCCTATTATTTATTTTCCTAAAGATCTTGATTTACTTCGATTTATTATTATTTTTGTTATTATTTCACTGCCAGATCGTGTATATATATGGCGGCCAAGAGATAAAAAAAAGTACAATAATTCTGCAATTATTAATAATTAATAAGAAGGGTTGCGTATTAAAAATCATAATTTTTTTGTTTAATTAAATTATTTTAGACTTAAACGTGACATGAAATTTTAACAAACTCTCCAAATCGTTTTCATATAAGTGTTTTGACTTGTTTGTCTACATCCATAGGATGTTTTATTTGTAAAATTATTGAGCAAAGATTGTTCTTAATCAAATTAATTAATTAAACCAATATAATTTGTTTGAATGGAGGCTGCTGATTCATGCATGAATACTTATAAGAGAAAAAGTTTTAATAAAAAATGTAATATCTTTTAATTTTACATTGGTAGTTGAATGAATGAGCCTTGCTAACAGTCCAAGTAGGCTCCCCACCCCATCACCAACCGAAGGAAGGAAAAATTAGTGAGGGACTCCTAAACTTTTTAGATAATATGAAAACGGCTCGTCAATTTTTAATGTTATGAGATTGAATCGTCCCAATTCCATTCATTTAATATCCCTTTGGTGTTATTGACATAACAGATGTCGTTTCTAGTCTATCTCTTTCTATTTCTTTTCTATCAAATCGATCTATTTTCTGTTCAATTTTTTGGTAATCAGTATCAAGAAGAATGATACCATGAATCCGATTTAGCCCAACTTTCACGTGTCGAAAATCGACAATGTAAAAGTATAAAAGTCACACGTGACTTTCATCTTCAAGTCGAAGAAAGACTAAGGGGGTTAACTATTTTGCCTCAAACTTTAGTTCATGTAAAATTCCCTTGCAATTCTAAATTACAAAGATTAACTATTTGATGTTCAATTCCTAATAGGAGTAAAAATGATATTTTCTAAATTCTTTCAAAACATCAAGACCGATATTTTGATCCGAAAAAGTTAACTTTAAAGAATTTTTATTTTTCATCTCGATCTTGAAAAATACTACTAAAAAGCCCCGACTTTTAATATCTCATTAAAAAAAGACATAGTAAAAGGTTGAATCTCAACCTTAAGAACCCCCACTGCCCTATCCCTAAAGTATCATAAGGAAGGTAAATTTCGGGATGTGCCCCAACAGGTTAGAAAACAAGAGCTTGCTCGTATATTGATGCCCATAAAGAGTTCAATTTGGAATATATATTCTTTTCAAATCATGTTTGAAATTATTGGAAAGAAATTCACCAAATGTTGCAAAAAATGGAAAAGACAAAAAAACAAGTCAAAAAGAGAGAGAACAACAATTAAACGTTAAACACAAGGGAAGAAGATTTTATTATTTTAAAACAATATTTTTCTCATTAATTTCTTCTTACACATTCCTAAAATGCTTAACATATACTGTAATCCGATGCATACCCCTCGTCTCTAGACTCTCACAATTTTGGTTGCAAGTAATTCTTTTCTAGAATTCACGTCGATCTGGTGTCGAGCACAATTCTTCTCAATGCAATACTATGAATTTATAGAAAAAGTGACCGAACTCTTTTGATACGTTTTCTTCCCATTTTCAATCTTTTCTTTTTTTCCTTTTGTTGTCAAACAAGAATTTTGCTTTTCTTTTTGTAATAGAAATCTTCTATTTCATAAATTTGGATAAAACCTAATGTAAATATTTATAGAATAATGTTATTTGCATTCACTTACTGTCGCAATTGCTCTATGTGACACACATGTGACGATTAGTGATTTGTTGTATAAGATAATAAAAAACTACTATATTAATGTATCAAACATTATCAGCTATATGTATGCTACATAGGACGATTACGACGGTAAGCGACTGCAAATAGTATTACTCATATTGATATGCTATTCACATATTTTTTTGGGCTACGAGTGTGCAAAGGAACAAGAAAATACTGCATAGAGTACACTACACAAGGAAGACATATTTATTAATTCCCTGTTTGGTGTCAGGATTAAAATTAAAATTTTGATAGATTTTGATAGAAATTGATGAAATGTATAATTAATAAATTGTGAATTTATAAAATACATGGTTAAAATAATTATTAATTTAAATTTAAATATAAATTTTAATTTCTACAAATAGTTTAGAGGGTATTTGATAGGGATTAAAATTAGATTTTTTTAATAAATTGTTAAAGAAATTTTTAAAATGTGTACTCATAAAAGATTTGATTAATACTAATTATTTTACTTCGATTTAAATTAAATGCAGGCAGTAATTATATTTGTTTAGAAAAAGGTGAGTCACATGACAAATGCGATAGAGCGGCTGTCAGCGTGTAACTACGAAGAAGCCTCTTAGCCAGCTGTATCAAAGCTGTTGAATATGTGGCAACCCATTATATATAAGTAAATAAGCAAATAAGTAAAACTTATTTTTTAAATTTTTCAATAATTAATTTAGAGTCGATTCATTTATATTTTCATTTTCATTTCTTTAAAATAAATTAGAAACAAAAAAAATTGAGAAAACAGTATAAAACAAATTATTTGCAAAGAAAAAAGGATAAATTTTAGCCAGACCAATTAATATTCCTAATAATGGAAAAGTAAAATGGCTTAATTAAGTAAAAAATATCGATCTTAATTAAACTAAGGAACAAGACAATGACTTCCATCGCAATATATTTGGTAGAAAAGACTGAATACAGCTCAAATAAACAGTATTAAGAAAGAAATCGACACTGATTATAAACTTTAATTCGATTGGATCTTGCACTCATTGTACTCGACAAAGATGAACTAAGAACTTGAGACGCAAGGCAAGTATATATTTTAACGTAATTTAAAAAAAATAAAGACAAAATGGATAAAATTGAAAAAGGAAAAAGTATTTTATAGGCAATAAAAACATACCATTTTTCTATAATATTTGTCAACAATAAAAATTACCAGAAATCATATTCTCAATAGTATGAAAATCTCCGAAAAACCCACAATCTTCGTGTAACCACTGTTGATTATAGTCCCACCCCAAATCCTCCGAGAAGACGAAATCAGCCACCGGATGTGCCACCACAGAGTCGTCGCCGTAAGTCGTCTCCAAACTCGGCAGCTCCACTATCTCGCTAAGCTCTTCTTTGGCTTGTACCTCCCCACTTTGGTCCTCGGATTGTACCGGCGATGACGTCACGGTCGAGACGAGTGACGTAGAGGAGGAAGATGACGTCATCGATTGTACGGCCTCTGGCAGGTGTTCCATGTTAGCCGCCTTGGATGCGGCGGCCTGGACGTCGCGTGGGGAGCAGGTGTCGGGCCGAGGCAGCAAGTGTGAAATTTCCGGGAAATTTAAAATGGCGTTTTTGCCTTTGATGGCCAGGGCTGCTACATCGTGAGCTCGAGCCGCCATTTCCGGGTTGGCGAAGGTTCCGAGCCAGATCCGAGATTTCTTTCGGGGCTCCCGTATTTCAGAAACCCATTTTCCCCATGCCCTCATTCTCACTCCTCTGTAAACCGGATGCTTGCTACTATCATTACCAGTTTTGTTCCTCTTTTCGCCATTGATTATTTCTTCGTCTCTGCTTCGCTTCGTGCATGAAGAATTCGAATGGCTACTTGACTCAGCCATTGTTAAACTCATCAATCAATCAAATGTTATTCATACACATACAGAGCGAGAGAGAGAGAGAAGAGGAGGAGAAGCATGTGAAGTGTCGAAGAAAGATGTATTTATATGCGCATTTGCATTCGTGTGAGAATTTAGATTCAGAGATATATAAATATTATTTTCTTGATTGTATTTTTGCATAAGAGGGAAAACGCACACAGTATACGGAAGAAGAAACTGTAGAAATATAGATCACTATGCAATAATTCATTATGTATAGGGAGGGGAAGTACGAAAAAGACTCGATTGGATAGTACATTATGTACCGTTTGGTCTAACTAAAAAAAGTTGATAAAAACTCATTAAAGTTAATAATTAATTTCAACAACGTACTTTTTATAGACTTTTTGATCATTAAAATCTATTTAAAATTTGATTTTTAGCTAAATTAAACATGGGTCGATTCTATCGTTTGGCTCTCATTCTTTTTCTCTCTTATTTTCAATCATATAATCTTCCATAAAATAATATTACACGCAAATAAAAAAAAAACTCATTCTTTTTCAATCATACATTATTCAAAAAATACTTTTTCAACCATTATAATTTGGCAAGAATGAGGGTCAAACGGGTGATAGTCATAGTACATTGTTTCTATTTGGACCAATTAAAAAAATTTGATTAAAATTTAAGCGTAAGTTAATAAGTTAATTTTAGTCATACATTTTATGGGATTCAAACTTTTCAACCACGTATATAATCAACTTTATTAAAATTTAATTTTTATCTAAACCATACATAGACTTTATGATAGCTTTTCATTGGTTAAACTTCAATTAAACATATATTTTATAAGACCCGCAAATTTTAGCCTTATACTAACACCGACTTTGATCAAATTTGATAAAAAGTTTTATCAAACAATCTCTAAATAATTAGAGCAAAACGTTTTGAGTGTTAAAGTTGGTACTATATAATTAATATATAGGACCCGACCTAACATATAATGGAGACAAGACAATGGGCATGGTAGAAGGTATTTGAATGATCAAATTGAATAAAAAGAAAATAAAATATAATTAATATAAAATTTGTGTTTCATGTGTGAAATATGTTATAGAAGGGTAAGTCAAAGTCTATCATTTTTCCTTGTCTTACTTAATTTTATGAAAATGCTTTCAAGCTCATTTTATAACTAGATAGTAAATATAAACATGTCGTTTTATCTATCAAATGTATGTACATTGCAGAATTTCATCCAACATATATATATATAAAAGTGCGTGTGTGTGTGTGAAAAAGAAAAAAGTACGAATTAAGTGCAATAAATAGATTCACAAGCATTGTGCATGTGATGTACAAAATTAATACACTTACATGCCCCTTGTCAATTGGATGATAAAACACGATACAAAAAGGTATAGCATATTAAATTATCTTTTCGATTTCGCATTTCTCTTTATAGTTTTCTCAATTACTTATTTGTAGAACGTCTTTTAGAATTTCATCTTACCTATTAGATCCATATTAATATAAATCAATGTACCTAAAGAAATCTACAATGCAAAAGATGTGTAGCATAAGATGTATATTAAGTTTGAAAATAATTAATCAAATTTCTTAATAGTAAAACTAATTATACAAGATTTTTATCCTATAATGGTAAATTATACACATGAAATTCGGGCAAGGCATTATATATATATAATCATAAATGTAAATTTTTTTATCGAGTAGCTCGGTATTCGTCATAGTTTAATAGTTACAATTTTGTATCAAGGTCAGTATCAATATCGTGAATGACATTAGCATAAATCACTTTTATTATAACATGTATGGAAACGAAGTTTAAAAAATGAAAAAAAAGAATCTTGAAAACTGGGATTAATTTGTGTTACTATGTTCAATTTAAATAAGAGGATTTAATTGAGTTGGTCCCATAAATAATAATTAAGGTAAGGGTTGATCAATTAATGTTCCAATCCCAAGATAATATTATTTTGTTTTACCAAAATATGTGAATTGAATTTATGACCCCATTACATGCCTTCCTAGAAATTTCATGTTCTATTCTGCAATCTGAAAATATTTAATTACCTTTTTCCCATATAGAGATGAGTAAATAAATTAAAGAAATCACTGACAAATTTCATGGTATGCCTTTAATGAGGTCAAGTAGGGACAATAATAAATAACAAATAATTTCCAAAAATGCCTTTTTTTTAAGGAAAAAATTTTAAAAATGCCCTTTAACACAAAATTTTCACCATTTTCATGCAAATTGTCACTATAATGCACAATAGAACCAATTGTTTACCATTTGCACAATTAAATGATTTAAAATTTTCCTTTTATTTAACCACAGGAGCAATTTTAAGTTACGAAATGAAGGAATATGTTTCTCGAGAAAGAAATTTGAAGAAGATTAATTTTCATATCTCGTCTTAAAATTAAATATTCCCTTTTCAAGGCTCACGACTGCACATAATAAGTACGTCTATCCTCCCAATTGTTATAAATTATTCATACGCTTAAAACGTTGTACTTTGACAATGGCTCATGAACCAATTGATATCAAGCATAAAGAGAGTTCTTATCAAATATTTATTGATTCGTTATATTTGATAGCAACACAAATTTCCATTTGATTGTACCTTACAACCATAGAATTAAATTCACCTACCTTGTCAATTTTTTCTAGAATCTTATATTAAAAATAAATTAATAAATAACCTATTAACTGTGAAAGAACTTAAGTGCAAGAAATTTGTATATTTTTAAACCCAACAGGTAAACAAGCTAAAAATTATATTTTTTGTAAATTTTAATAAAAGTTGATATAATGTGTGGTTGAAAAATTAATAAAAGATGTGGATTCGTGAAATATTTGATTAAAATTTATTGTTGACTTTGACTTTAATTTTTATCAACTTTCAGCTACATCAAACAAGGGCTAATGAAAAATATCATGCATATATGTCACCACAACAAGAACTCTCAACAAAATTAAGCCCCTATTTAACAACCATTATTTCAAAACTTTTTTTCTACATATTTTCAATCACACATTCACAAAATAAAATATTTTTCCGTAAATTCAAAAAAGTTTCGTACTTTTTAACCATATATTTTCCAAGAATACTATTGAAAACTCCATTTTACCGAAATAATGATTGTCAAACAGGGATATATATGAAATCAAATATGCATTGGAGAAAAGTTGCATAATGTGGTAGAATTTATCGATTGTCATACTTAATCTTATCTAATAGGTCGAAAATAAGTTGTAGTACTCTAATTATCTAATATATTTAAAAACAGGTGTTATCTCCTTTTCCGATGGGCAGATAAAAACTTTCCTTTTCTGATGTGGCAAGAAAATTTTAATTATGATTTTCTGAATCAATCATAAATTCAAATAAGCATAATTAAGGTTTTCTTACCACATCAAAAATGAGAAAATTTTTATTCAACCCATTGTGATTTTTCCAAACCAAATTTCCAATTCTTGCTCATTTGGAAGAATTTACTACTCTCGTTTAGACAAGGTTTATAGGTGTTATAATTGACGTTTGCGGTGTTTGTGTTGCAAATATTAAATGAAAAAGCTGACCTACCAGTAAAAAGTAAATAAAGTGATAAATAATTATAATACTAAATATTGAAAAATAGAAAATAATAGGCAAGCAACAAGATATTTCTGTCCATTCATTTTGGACATTTTATGATAATCATGTGATTATTTGATTAAAGTGATGCATATAAATGTGCATCTGATCCCAGTAATTGAAAAGGACGAGACTGATATTAGATTTCATTAACAAAGTTTTTCGTAAATTTCGAAAAAGGATCATAGCTGGAGACTTCTTTAAGTGTTACTTTCAATCCATTCACTATAGTAGTCAATTTATTCGATACATATAGAGTTATTGAATAAGTGAACGAAAATCGCGGTCCATAAAGAAACGAAGTCTTCTGCGATTTCATAGAACAGAACAACTTAACCCTAATGCGAAAAATTGTGGTAAAAATCTATAAGATTTTTTTTTTTTTATATATATAAACACGTTTCTTGAATGATTATATGTAACAAACATGTCGAGAATACGCTAGGAGTGACTAATTCACTTATTGTTGCCTCTTGCTTCTGCAACCATTATTGTATAGATATTCTTGCAATTGATGGTTAGAAGTTATTATTTTACATTCAATGCAATAATATCAATATGTACGTCATGGACCAACCTATCCTTCAAACTTCACCTTTAAATTATAATTGAAAATATATAAATGTGTGTGTGTGTGAGAGAGAGAGAGAGAGAGAGAGAGAGAAGAGAGAGAGGCCAAACGACCCTACAATTCTAAATGAAGTTTGGACTTCAGCAGAGAGGTGTTTAAAATGGGCTTTACAATTGATTTAATGGGCCCATTTAGAGTATAGCTGCTCCACCCATAACAAGATACATGAAACATTTAAGAGCTGTTACTTGACCATTTTGGTGCACAGAAATTGATTCTCATATTCACCATCACATTAGATTTGAACAACTTGTCCTATAATATCTCATTTTATTATACACCTATAAAATGTGGCCTTCAAGGACTATGGTCCCTAACAAAATTAAATTACTTAGTACGGCCTAATCCAGTCCAACCAAATTTTGACATGGCCCTCGATATGCTGGCCCATTTTGGGCAATTCGAGATAACCAACACTATTTCATGTATCGTGACGGTAATGTCAATACTTAATTTTACCTTGACAACCTCAACTTATATCTAAGACATGAACACATAATAACAAATTTGTAGCGTAAAACAATAAATTTATTAAAATTTCATTTTCGTCTTCCAAAAGGTTGCGAGGCAGTCTATACATGAAACATTCAAAGTTTTAGTATAACTTACTTCATACACTGTTTGCAGATTGCTTCGACTTGTGACTATGGATTCCTAGTTCCACAAGCATGGTCAGCAGTGCTTCACACATTTCAGAGGCATCTGGTTCACTATGGTCCCTCTTCCAAGGGGAGTACACCATCCATGAATGATCAAGTTTCCAGTCAGGTTTGACCACGACAGAACCTGGAACTTCCGCATCACGGCACGTCACAAGACCATCGCTCTTCTCCCCGTATCTTAGTTGCAGATGGAATGCGCAGAGCGCCATGGCAGCAGAAATGGGAACTATAACAGGAAATTTGCACCCTGCTAGGACAGCATTTTCTGCATAAGGAAGCCAGGGAAGTTCTGCATGTGCAATGTGGGACATTGTGGTGATAACACCAGGCGCAGTATTTGCTTCAGAATGGAAAGAGATGAGAGGAATGTTGTCAGGAAGTTTATGGTTTCGGATGAACTCCTTCCGTTTCTCATATGTCAAATCCTCGAGGGATCTTATATCACCCTACACGAAAAAATTGTCATGCTCTATAAAATATTCGCCTTCTCAAATCCTAAGAGTTAAAAAATAATAATAATAATAAATAAAATAATAATAATCTGCTCAGATGTCTTGTAATGCAGCATATAGATTTGAAAATACAGAAAGATATATGGAGATGTAGCAATTTTAAGTCTACAATCTGTTGTGAAATTTTCCATCTTCTCAAATGGATCAACCATTATTGTGACTTTTGATAATGGGAGTAGGAAAATGTTACCTTAATCAGTTTGCAAATGAGAAACTCCATGATTTTACGGGTTTCCTTGTCAGCCACTTGGCCTTCGCGGAGAATATCAGATGCCATAGGTGTACCACCATAAGGACTCTGCACCAATGCCAATCCTCCAACTTTATCCTTTAATTCGTGTGAATAAATTGACAAAGCAGCTGCTGCATCAACACCACCTTTACTGTGACCAAGCAGCATTACACGTTTTCCCGACCCCCAGTATAGCTCCTCTATGTACTGCTTTAGTTCCCATGCATTCTGTTCAACAGATGCCTTCACATGGGGCCGAAAAATATAAGCATTTGCTTTGTGAAGAAGTAAAACTGTCATTAAAATAGTCAGGTAAAAAATGGACTCTTCAAAAAGAACGAGTGACTATAGCAACTAATCCCTTTCAGCAGAGTTTAAATTAAGAAAATGGTTAAGTATTTAAACTTAATACCTCACTGTGGATTTTAGCAATATAACAAGCTAAACCCATCTTCGAGAAAAACTTCTTGGTGCTAACAAAATATAAGGGACTATGATTGCTAAAAAGCCCTGCAAACCAAGTGCAGAAGATAATGTAATGGTATGTAAAGAAAAAACATTATAAAGGTTCAAAAACACCCATCCAGAGTATAAGAAAATAGATATTCAAACCTGGAATTAGCAGATAAACAAAAAAATTAGGCAGTTTGTGCTGTCCATTCCTGAAAGGCAAAAGTAAACAGAATGCAAGCAATCAAATTATCATGAATAGATTGATGAACCAAGTATTCCATTAATATATTTAAAAGGTGCCCTTTTTCCATTGCATCTACTAAATGGGGAATATTTTGAAAATCTGTCATCAATGCTGTTGCTGTATTTGATTTAGGAGATAGAATGTCCTGGTGCCTGATTTAGACCCTTTTAAACACTGAGAACACTTTTAAACCATCTCCTTTCTACAATTTCAGAGCAAAGGTCAGGAGAGAATATAAAGCCTTTTCACTTGGGGATAGATTCCTCATATATATAGGTTTAAAGTATGAGAAATCAAGGAAGAGCTCATGTCACCACTACAGGTAAAAGAAGATGTACGTGATTGCCTACAATCTTGACAATCTCTCGAACTAGAGCTAGCACAGGAATACTCAGCCTCTGTTTGAGCCCCATCATATAAAATCTCATTTTTTCCCAAACTCATTTTCAACCACACATTTGTCTAATAAAATAATCTTATATGTAAACTCAAAATTTTTCCCTACTTTTTAACCACATATTCTCCAAAAAAGTTTCTATTACAAAACTTAATCTTTGGAAAAATGGGCTCAAACACATCCTCGGTAACACAACAGTAGTGAGAAACTCGTAATCTGGGAAGTACAATTTCGAAGACTGAGCAACAATCTACAGTCAACCTTTAGGAAAATTGCTTTATATAGATGCATACAATATTATTGTTATCTATGTAAATAATATGCAAATGTTTGGAATATCATTGATATTCTAAGGGGGAAAAAGGGTAAAAAATAACTGGATGTTTAATAAATATAGATGTGGTACCTAATGCTATTTAGCAGTTCCACAAATCTAGCCGAACCATCCTCCACAGGAGCCATTCCAGGAGCACATTGCAACCACCCAATTTCATCAGAAGAGCCATGCAAAGTTTTACACACTCGAGATAAAAAGCTAAAAAGGCAGAAAGAAGGTTAAGTATAAAAGGCCAAGTAAAATAGTGTTGAACCAGAGTTCTTTATCATTAGATGTAAATTTTCAAGATCAAAGCATAATTTTTACCTCTGAACTTCAGATTGTGCACGTCTTAGATAGCCAAAATAACATCTACAAGATGCCAATGCTAACCGACAAGCAAATCTCAAACAAGATATAGAAAGCATCAACCTGAAACCCAGAACAATAAATGTCTTTTAAATGGGATTGTAATGAATATCAATCAGCAGGAAAATGAGAGACTGTAAATAGAGTCTAAATTTTAATATAAGCATATTGAGGTGATTATCAAATTAAAGAGAAGGTAAAGTTATGGACAGCGGCCAACACATCACGAAAAACGATGAGAATAAAGCATATGAAAAAATTTACCCTTTTAAAATGAAGTGGACACCACCATAATTGTGTCTTCTATGAACAATTTCTAATCTTGAATTTACTAACAAAAAATCCAGATTTGAGGCTCTTCTTTTATGAATGCCAAACCTTGCACTGGAGTTACAATGTGTTGATGACGAACAACTTGTAACCACAGAACTATGATCGCTGTAACTTGCAGGATTTTGACCACAAGATATCATGCCCCAATCTTCTAAGCATCTGCTCAGATCTCTTAAGAAAAGATCTTCTACAATAATAATATATGTAAAGAGAAACCACCACACTCGAAATTAGACTAAAGGGGAACTAGAAGCAATTTGCCGTAAATTATGGAGAATACAGGTTACTCCATTAATGAGAATAGAAGTAACAGAATAAAACTCACCAATGAAATGAATGAACCGACGGGTTATAAAGGAAGTTAAAGTCAAGACTTGGGAAAAGGTGTCTTCCATTCTTGCTACAGGGACGAAGACAAACTGGAGAAGACGATTGTTATTTGTCACATCAACTTAGAAAGCCTACATCGAACCTTGAGAACAGGAGCCAAGATGCTACTCAATAACTTCCATATAATAGATAAAAAAGATATTAGGGATGAAATTAACAGGATTCAGTATGATATTAAATAAAATGCAAACACAATCAATTATAAGAAAATTCATATGCAGCATATTACTTTAGATAAGAATTCCATTAAAGCTGACAATATCACACAAGGTGAAAGTAGAGACAGAAGCTAAAAACGGTGAAAACATAAAAAATAATGCCTTGGAGAAGAATGTAAAATAGCCAGTGAATTTGCACTGACCTTTTAATGAAGGGATTTAATTTTCCTTTAAACATACAGTTCTCCCTTAATACCTTTCGGAACCCTGAGGCAGTTTGACAATTTTATTAAACTAATTAGAAACTTCAAAAACAAATTCAATCTTTTCATGTCAAGTTACCATCCAATCTCAAAGGACTTAGCCCCTTAACTATCACGCTCGCAGGAAAGAAAACTTAATCAACACTGATTAGTTACTTGACGGTGATGACCAAAATAAACTAATATCAGCACATGTTCAAATCATAGCGTGCTAATAAGAATTTTGTTACAAGAAAACTGGAGAATCTGTGTTTAAGAAAGCTGTAATGAAGTTCTTATACAACAACTATATTTAGATATACAAATTTAAAGCAGAGATAACAACTGTCTCGATTTAAATGGACACAAATGCAGGGCCGTTTCTACTGTCTCGATTTAAATGGACACAAATGCAGGGCCAGAAGAAACGGATAATAACTGAAATTCGAACAAATTCCAGAAAAAGTAGAGGTTTAGGATAATTATCAGCATATTTAGCTACTTACTTTTTCAAAATGCATCTTCATAGTTCATAGGAATCTCATTAGCAGTATATGTATATCACCAGTTAACCATTACCTTCGTTCAAAATTCGAAATCAAAATAGCATAACTAAGCAAATGAATGGTAGTTAACACTTACCCACAGAGGAATTGAAAATTGCAGTCAGAATGAACGCTAGCCTCAAATCTGCACGATCCAGAATATAAATAAAGAAGCAGGAAGATAAATCTTTACATCCCAATTCCTAATGAAGAGTTTCTCCAAGAAATCATAAAATATCACTGTCATAATTTTTTTTTATAAATGCATTCAGAAATTATAATAATAATGAGTGGGAATGAAGCAAACAGTTAACTTTATCCTCTACCTGTAACAATGGCCCACTTGAGCTCATTTTTAGAATTGAAATCCAAAATTGAAGAAACGGTGAAGTGGGTTCTCCCATAATTCAAACATTTTTAAAACATTGAATCAAAAAGTGAGAAAAAAAAAGAAAAAAAAAGTAGGAGGCATTGGGTTCTGTCTAATTAAATTATATTTGTACAATATTTTGACAACATCATATTTATCTATTTTAAAAACTGTTTTTCAAAATGAATGGTTCAAATTTTGATATTGTCAATCACAATGGTACAAATTACTCACTAAAAACTGGATCAGATACAGATTCTGACGCCAGAAAGCAGTAACTGTGTATGGTTACTTTGAGACCAAACCGAATACAAAGCACATACCTGTTGATATGGTGACGAATGTAAAGTCGGCAGAGATTGGAGAAGGGGCCCAAATAAAGTGGTCAATCGGATTACCTCATTGAAGGGAAAATGAAACTTTGACTTGTTGGAATTGTTTTTTTATTGTTGATTTTATATCTTGTAAGTGTACGGATCATAATAAGTAGTAAAGTGAATCATTTGAGTTCGGATTATCGTTTTCTACGAGGAATATACTTTAATATTTAATTTATTGTTTCTGATTTCTATTTGATAAAAATAAATAAGAACAATGATTGGTTATAATTTTGAATCCAACTACGTAACAATACATGAATACACATAAAGAATGATTGAAAATTCAAATAATAAATGGATATTAGGACGAACAATTTCACCTATTCATCACATTTAAATCTTAAATCAAGATTCATAAAATCTAATATAGTATTCGGTCGAATTCTCCTATTGTATTCAATTTACTTCTCTCGAGTTCTCATTGAATCTATTTAACCACTTCAATTTCATATCTCTATGCGAATCAAACTTAGTTAAATGAAATAATAGTTCTAAGAATTCATTTATGACTGCAGTAATTAATATAGCTATCTCTATACGTTATATTAATTTACCGAATTTTAATATGTATATAAACAAAGAATACGCATCTCTACTTAAATATCATTCCCGAAATTATTAAATAATTGGCCAAAAAATTCAAAGCATTGAAATCATGATTAAACTCCACACATATAATCATAATGAACAAGAATCTAAAAAAAAAAAAAAAAAAGGCCAAAAAAAATTACATTTTTTCCTTTAAAAATTTGAAAAAAAAAAAGGTCCAAAATAAGTTACATTGTTCGCTCTAAAATTATATTTAACTACTCATAGTAATTAAGGAAAAACAAGAAGTTATTATGGAAGACGTCGTCGGATTTTGAATAAAAATATAGAATAAGAAATCAATCTTGCACGAAGATTTTCTTCCCCTTCCAATTTATGTTTCAACCCTTGAATTGCTTGTTTTTTTTTCTCTTGAATTCGTTTCTTTAATCTCCAAGTGTGTTTCTTGCATTCCAATGTATGAATCCCCTTTTAAAAGTGTGAGAAATTTGTATTTATAGGTGCCTCCTCGTGTGTTGATAGAGTACATAAGATTGCATTTTTAATGCTGATTGCTCATGATTACTTGCGAATATATAATTATATTTGGGATTAATAATGATTTTTTTTTTTTATAGTTGAATGATGGCCAACCTAATTGTGGTGTTTACAATTTTGGAAAAAATTCATATATACATCAATAAAAAAACAATTCGCAACATACTGCATTCTTATAGGGATGTCAAAAGGGCCGAACCGCTCGTCGACTCGTGAAAATAGGGCTTGTGGGTGGCTCGGGCTTGTAAAATCACGAGCCCGAGCAAGAGCCGAGCGGGCCTCGTCGGGAGGCGAGCCCACGAGTGACTCTCGTGGCTCGTCGAGCCCTCAAATGTAAAGTAACCAAAATGGTCACTTTTTAAAAAAAGTGACCGTTAGGTCATCGAATTTTTTTAGTGACCGAAACGGTCACTGAAATTATATTTTTTTTAATTTTTCCCCCCTTCACTATAAATACCCCTTCCCCAAAATATTTTTTTCATATCAATTGCTACTCCAAGTCTCCAACTCTCTCAACTCTCTTTTATTATATCAATTATCGAGTTTTTACTCTTTTGTGCTGCAAAATATACAATATCAATTCAATTTTTACAGTTTATTAATTACAATTTCAATTCATCCAATTCTCAATTCTCACAATCTCGCTGTATTTATATTCTTCTAATTAAGATTTCATCATAAACAATCAAACAAATGGATCAACGCTCATTTGTTGAGAGCTTGTTCGATACAGGATGTGAGCCACATCATGACGAATCGCCTAGGAAGCTGTAAAGTCAAATTCCAAATGAATTTGTCGATCTAAATGACCTACCGATACCTGAAGATGTTCACATTCACGGTCAAGAAAGTCACAATCCAATTAATTTGGATGATATTAACGTTCCCGAAACGGAACATGAGGATGAAGATGTTGAATTAAACATCTCAGATGCGAGGGGAAAGAGAAATGCCAAAAAATAAGCAAAATATTGGGATAACTTTAAGTTGATTTCAACGAAAAAAATCGTCGATAGCCTTGCAGAATCTAAAGCAATATGTAAATACTGCCAACAAAGATTGGCATAGCAAAAAGAAATTGGTACCACCCATCTCAATCGCCACTACAAAGCATGTGCAGCCAGACATGGATTTCTTCCAGTTGGTTAAACACAATTTCAATTTGGCAGTTTAGGCGTCGATTTTACAACTTCACCCCTATCCACATGAGTTTATTCGGAGGATAATACTCGAATCAGAATGGTGAAATTTGTTGCCGCGCATTGAGTTGCCTCTGACTATTCAGACAACCAACACTTCATCTCGTTCGTAAAAGAATATCTACAATCGAAGTACGTTGGGGTAAGTCGAAATACTTTTCGTGCCGATACAATAAATTATTTCAATAATTCAAAACAACAATTAATTATGAATTTACAACAATATGGGGGTGTTATATCTTTAACTTCTGATATATGGGAAGTGGTTAATAAAAGAGCATATATAGCTGTAACCGCACACTATATAGACCCACTTTGATGCATACATAAGAAAATTATTGCTTTTAGAATTATTGAGTTTCCTCACAATGCTGATAATATATATAATGCTATTATCAGTATTATTAGAGAATATCATTGTGAAACTAAAATTCGTTCTTTTACTTTTGATAATGCTAGTGTTAATAAAGTAGTCGTCGATAAATTGTATAGGACACTTCAACCTGATTTTCGTGGGTATTTGTTTCATATTCGTTGTGTGTATCATATCTTGAATTTAATTGTGCAAGATGGTTTAAAACATATAAATGATGAATTTCAAAGGATTAGGAATGTATTAGCATATATTACGATCTCTCCTAGTAAAAAATAAGCATTTGAAGATTTTTGTGCCGAACTAGAGGTGACGACTACTAAAACATTTATTAGCGATGTAGGCCATAGATGGAACTCTATTTACTTGCTATTAAAGTCATGTGAAGGTTTTGAAAATTTAATAACTGACTTTTATAACAATAGACACGTTAAAAGTGATGACGATGACATGTTAAATGAATCTGATTGGATTTTAGCTTTGAAAGTTGAACGATTTTTGACATCTTTTTATGAGACCACAAAGATTTTTTCCGGCGTTTATTATCCCACGAGATGTATAGTGCTTGAACGCCTTTATATAATTGCAAAAACATTTCATAAATATAAAAATGATCCTGCTTTTAATGAAATTATAATTACTATGGAATTAAAGTTTAGAAAATATTGAGAAGAACTGCCTATGTTATTTTCTTTAGCATGCGCAATGGACCCCCGATATAATATATCGGGAACTAAATACGTAATTGATCAAATCAATAAAGTTTTAATACTTGATATACCTATCACCTATAAGAATTTAGAGCAAACATTATGTGGAATGTATGATTCATATCCGGAAAGAATGGGTGCGAATGTTAGTCGGGTATCCTCTGCACCTACTCCTTCTGTTGAAATTGAAGAAGATGATGCCGAAATAATGAATTTATTTCAAGACATTAATACATTTAGATATGATGCAACTGTAATGTGTTCATCTAGTGTCATGTCATCTACATTTGCATCTTATCAAATATCGGTCGAAACTCAAAATGCGATGCCTGCCGAATTAATTGATTACATCAATCATAATATGCCAACAGAGAGAAAAATTAAAAAAAGTTCAGAAGAAGTAATTGAATTCTGGCGAAAGTATGAAAGACGTTGGCCAATTGTTTCTGTAATTGCGAAAGATCTGCTGACACCTCTGGTTAGCACTGTTGTTTCGGAGTTTACTTTTAGTGCAGATAAAAGGGTTTTGACTGATGTCAGCAGCTGACTAAAAGAAGATGTTTTGGAAGCGTTAATGTGCGTGAAGGATTGGCAGGACGCTCATTTTCGACTACAAGATAAATACGCTAAAATTGCATGTTCTCGGGTAAATGATATTTGATTTAATTTTATTAATCAAAATTTCTTTATTTTTTAATCATTAAATTTAATTTTCTTTAAAAAATTGTATACGTTACATCAAGTTGTTCGTGTCCAATTTTTAACTCCGCCTACTTAAAATTGATGTAGCTGATCCCAAACCCGGATAAAGGAGGAGGGTTTACATTTTATCTACTTTAAAAAGAAATCAAAAAAATATATTTTTTGTAAATGTATTTCAAAAAATAATTCATCTTCATTATATAAATATTTTATACTTTATAAAAAGTTTTACAATATGATATAAATAAAAAAAATAAAAAATTATTTTCGTTAAATTATTTGTATTTTTTAACACTTTTTATTTTTTTAAAAGTGTTTTCTACTATTTCATTTCTTTGTAAAACTTTTAAAAAAATATATTTAAATTTGGACGAGCCCACGAGCTCGGCTCGCCACGAGCGCGAGCCAAGCTCGTGAGATTAAGGGCCGAGCCTGCTCGGCTCGACCCATTGCCACCACTACATTCATATAATATTGACTAAAAATACTAGGTTTATGATTAAAAATTTTTAGAATACTAGCTACCAAAAATAAATCCTTAACCAGAAATGTAACTGATGCAATTATTAAATCCCCAGACATGAGGTCTCACATTAACTCACCTTCCATAAATCTGAATTTAACCCAAAATGGCAGTCCATGATGAACGTATCATATCATTATGGCTTCAACACAAAAACAGTAAGGCATTTGAAAAAACACCATTTCTGATCATACTAGTCTTCGTCATACATATTGGAGCAGCAGGAACACTTTCAAAGCTATGAATAAGTCACAGTGTATGTAATAATGTTAATTTTTATTATAGTATGTAGAAGTTTATTACATCTTGTTTCCTGTCGAAGATACATCCTTGTGTCGTAATCGATTTTTGTGTATCACCAAACTCGAACGCCTCATAATCATCTCACAATAGGGTATGATTTAAAGAATGTTTTCCAACGACAAAGTCGTGTAGCATACACAGTCACAAAGACAAACCACAAAATGTTAAGTTTTCAACTGGCTAATGACTATGCATCAGTTCATTGGTAAAAATAACGCATAAATGAATTGATTTACTGAAACCGATTATGTACTCAAATTATTTTTGTTTAGAATGGATTGAATATTGCATTAATGCTTGTTTCGTGACTGTGTTTCTGTCTGAGTAATCAATATAAAATTTTCTTTCCCCAAAAAATGTTAAGAAGTTGAACTTATAAACGTCGATTATGGATCTGCCACGTTATTATACTTTTGAGAGTCCGGCTTCAATTGTACTCAATTTGTAATCATAAAGAAGTGATGCATTTTATTTGTCTATAGAATGGATGCAGTGAGTTTGTTTGTAGTGAATGGAGCTAACACCTTTGGTCTCCTTGTTCATTTTGGTTGCACTTACGCCTTGCTTGTCGAAATGATAGCGAACTTGCATAAACTTGATATGAGGCGTTTGTGTACGAAGATTGAGTACACTGCAGATGTTGACATGTCCCCCATCCAGATAAATGACGACAGTTCATTGTAGTTTTACTTGGAGCTTAAGCGTAAGGATCTACGTATTTCCGCTTATGCATTATGTATCAACCTGACTGAGCTTTTGCAATCAACAACCTTTTTAGTTACAGCGAGAAACGGGGAACAACTTCACAAACTGTATAACTTATAAAATTTGGCGTACCTCAATAAAACTTAATGCATTACGTCTTGTGTAGTAGAAAAAAGAAAAAATCGAAACAAATCAGAGTTTAATCACCCAAAAAATAGGTACATGTGGTCTGTGTTGTGAAAGCACCAACCTTCGATTTTTGGATGTTAATTCTGGTTCTTCATCCTCGATTGGCCTATTGCCCTTATCCTACAATTTGTTTTTCATCCCCATAAATTTAGAACTGGTGTCTATGACTCTTGCACCTAATGGACGGCCATAATAATCTTTTGATTGTGAGACTATATTGGTCAAATGGGTAATGCGACAAGGAGGGGTGTTAACGACTTCATTTTTTGGTACGACAATCTCATTGGAATTGGACGACACTCCTAATTTCTAGGTCTTGATGGAACCCATTGACGATCGGCGTTTTGGTGGAGCCGCGACTGGAGTCCCCTCTACATTTTGCATCACCCATACGAAGCCCAAAGAAGGATTATTATTTTCGGCCGCTACGGTGGAAAATTCATAAAAATTGAGAAGTGATGTTATAGAAAGCTGGTTGATGTATCACAGTCGGGGCTAGGGTTTTATACACATGAACCGAATCAACAAGAACTGGAGAATCAACTTGTAGAGAGAATGATATGGTGTGAAATATCATCTGCGGTAGATCCGTTGAAGATTGAATGAACGATTTGGCAACAAGAATTTCTTTGGTGGCTGATTTCGGGAGAGACGGGATTTGGGGATTTTGGAAGTTGAATATAAAGGGACGGTAATTTGGGGAGTTTTTGGTTTAATTGAGCATAATATGGGAGTGTTTGTTGTATACGGATTTAAGGGCATATTTGATGGAGAAATCTTAACTACTTGAAGAATTGATTATTATTTGGCTACTTTTTCACACTCCATATTTGTGATTCATTATTCAACATTTTTTTAATCATATATATAAGGAATTTATAAAGGAGGAAAAAGGGGATTTTTCAATGAAGGAGGCTGGAAAACAAGGGGATCGATTCTTTTTTTTTTTTTTGGCCTATCAAGAGGAGAAAGCTACACCAAGCAAATTGCAGACCAGATTTACTGAGTTTTTTTCCTTCTTCCAATCTCTTTTAGTTTCTTGATGTTTATTTTAAACTCTTTTCTTAAATTTTTCTTGAATTTTAGCATGAACTAATTTCTATCTTCTAGAGTTTGTGATGTAGCCTAATTATGATTATGTGAATCCTTCTTTACTTGGATTAATTGGTATTTGTTCAATTGTTGAGTATCTCGTTCTGGACTTAATGCTTGTGAATGACTAATCACCGTTTACATGAGTTGGAATTCAATTTGAGACAGAGAAGTAATAATTGTTTCAGCCTATGTTTGAGATATCACAAGGATTCTGTAGGATAGAGATATCTATGGACTTGTGTAATCTTTATGAGTTTATATTTGTTCTTAATGAATGCTGACAGGTTTAGAATTTTCACAGAGATGTAGAAAATTTTCCTGTTAAGATATTTCGCTAGTGCTTGAAAAAGATTAACTAATAAATTAGAGAGACTCGATTACCAACAATAAAGAACACTTACAATTAATTCAATTTAGATATTCGCATACGATTAGTTATGGTGAATCAAAAACTCTAGAATCTTATTTTTTGATTTTAACTTGCTTGTTCAATTCTTGTTAGTTTAACCTTTATAGTTAAATAATTTATTTACATTGGAATTGTCAAATAGATCATCATTTAATAAATTTTAATACTTATTTATAATTTTTCATTCCTCGTGAGACGATACTCTTACTCATTCACTTTATTACTTGTTACGACATGTGCACTTGAGATTTCAATTGACATGTGTGTAGAAAGTAAGGTTTTTATGGAATTAAAAATGTGCCCTAGACGCACCTAGGCGAAGCCTTGGCACCCTAAAGCGGCACCACGGCGCGTGGTGCCGCTGCGGCGTCACTTTTGGGTGAAAAACTCTGACTGTGTTTCTTTTAGTATTTTTATCATAACTTTTTTTGCCGATCTTCGATTGAGACAATTCAAGATGCGTTGGAAAGATAACTCAAAGAGTTAGAACTTTGATTTAGACATCATTCTCAAATTCCATCATTTTCTATGTCAAAAATGGGTCTCAATATGCGGTTGAAAATTGATGTATTATCATACTTTGTTTGTGTCATCTCTTTGACATCTTTCTTTATCCAATTGACTTCGAGCACTCTTGAATATTTATCATGAGGTCCGACACAATTTTTAAGTATTTGCACTTTAGTTCTTAAACTTTGGATCTCTTACAACTTAACCATTTTCTCCAATTTTCCCCACTGTTGCTTTTTCCGATTTCTTGTATTATCATTTAATTTTACCTATTCAACACCAAATGCAACAATTTAGATCATAATTTATTCTAGAAGTAACTAAATATCATGGTTTTAAAGCCTTGAATAAGTGTATAAAATACAATTATCATTTCTTGATTCAGTACATAGACAAAACCTGAATTTCTGGGTATTGGATGGGTTTCTAAATCTGGAATGGTGAATTCACTTGAGTGAGCCCATGTTCATTTGTAATACTAAATTTTTTCAGAATAAAATTTAGTATTTTTTTTATTTTTTTATTTTGGGGGGAAAATGTGATATTATAAAGAATCTGTAACAAATAAAGTACTAAAATTGACTTGAATCAAATGAATCCATGTTGATTTGTAATGACATGCAAGGGTCTTATGAATATTAGGAATAATTGGACTTGAATGAATCCACATAATAAAACTCATAATTTTGTCATTTAAAATAATTAATTTCGTCATTATACGTAATTCAAGCAAATATATACCTACGAATTAAAATTTAGTTCAATCAAATAATTCAACAAAATTATAATCTACAAAATCAATCAAATAAATATAACTAAATTAAAAATCAGTTCAAGTTCGCGTAAAATATTAACTAATTATTTATTTTATTTTTTATTAAAGACATGTTTAGTTGGTGAATAGAATTTGAAAAACATAATTAATTAAATTCATTTTTCATTATTAGTTGCACGGAATAAACAATCGATTCTAAACTTCAATAAGAACATTAATTCCTCATTTAATTCTCTTCCGATTTAAATTTCATAATGAGAATCTAAAAATGAAATATTTTATTACTGTGTATCTTCATAAATATTTTTATTTTATCAAATGTTTATTATTTTATTTTGTCAAATGTTTATTAATTTCATTAATTTCACAAGCGTTAGGCTAAAATTCCTAAAGAGCTTGGTATTTATATTTTTGAGCTAAAAATTCATTAAAACCTTCTAAAATTCTTTCAATTAATTAAATCCTTAGAAATTTACGAGTTATTGAGGGACACGTAGAATTGAAAGGAATTTATTAGAACTCAAGTTGAGGATATCTAAATTTATATAAACTTATAAATTCATAAAAAAAAATTGAATTGAGGACACTTCTCATATTTTTCATTCTAAAATCAGAATAATTGTCTCGTTATATAATTATTTAGCTTACCTTCATTTTCCTTTTCCTTTTCTTTTTCCTCTTGATTGTATCTTCGGTGCAATGTTTTTCAAGAAATGAAATGAAATTATGGCGTCTGCATCCATTCTTGTCAAAATAAATTCTTTTTTAAGAAAAATAAAGAATTATTAGCATAATTTAAATGAGGGAATGCAAGATTATTCAGAAAACATAAGTGAAGACGGCTATGGGCGAAAGAAATGGAAGATTGTAGTGTGCATAAGAATCAAAGAGAGAACTAAGTTCATGGTGGCAATATAACTACCCTATAAAATCCTCAAGAAAATCATTTTTCCCACATATACGAAGCACATATATCCAACATTGCTAGGTCTAAGCCAAAAAATAAATAAATAAATAAATAATTTGAAAAATCGACTAAAACAATCAAATCGAACGTACTCGGACGATTTTAGTCGGGTTAACACATGTAATTGGTTTGGTTTGGTTTTCTTTTTAACAAAATCATAGTGGGTTTGTCCAGTCATGATTTGAATTCTTAAACCGTTGGTTAACCGAATCAACCCAATTCACTTATATATTTACATTTTTCTATGAAAAATAAAAATCAAAAGATAAACCATAATCTCAATATCTCAATTCCCATCAATCTATGATATTGTCGATAAGTAATAATACTGAAAATTTCTTTGCACAAATTCAATATGTTATATTTAACATTTTTTTCCTACTCAAGCAGTCAAGCTACATAATATTAAAAAAAAAAAAAAACCAACAAAATTCTTAAATTTTCTGTTAATTCGTCTCTATTAACTTCATTTTATTTGTTAGTCAATACTCCTTTTAATATATTATTATTTAGTTATTTTAGTTCTTATATCTAAGTGAGCCTAAAACTCGAATAATTTTTTTTAAAATAAAATAAATTTGGACTAAAAGTCCAAACTGACTAACCGAACGATTTGATTTGGTTGTGTTTGGTTTAAGAGTTAGAATGTGTTGGTTTGGATTGAAATTCACCCAAACCGATTAACTTGCTTTTGGTTCCGGCTTGGAGTCGAAATTGACCCAAACCAAACCACGTCCAGACCTAAACATTGCCAATGACATTTAACACCGTTTAGGTGATAGTTGTAGCAAAATTTATCCTACAAGTGGTGGTATTGTATACGTTTAAGATAAGATGAGTAGAGTATTATCTCACGATTTTTGAATTTTGATTTCACCTTAGTTAAAGCTAACTCTATCAAGAATATAGAAATTTAATGATTTGGGTTTGAGTTTGAGTTTTTTCCCCAATGAACTAAAATAAGAAATTAAAAGTGGTGAAGAAAGAATTGAGGCAGAAATTAATTAAGAAAATAGTTACAAGTTCTTATTTCATTAATTAGTCCTACTCGTGCTTAATACATATTCTAGTTCAATTATTCTGTAATCAATCAATAAATTCAAGATAAAAATATTTATGTTCATTTATCAAGTACTAGTTAATATTTTCCTAAATATTAAAATTTCTTTTCTTGGTAATAGTTTTGATACAAATGATGCATAATACTTATGACAATCACGTAAATAATTGGAAATCTCTCAATTTAGCAAAAAATTAACGAAAAGGAAAATTGGGTGTTCTAACGTGAAATCTCTCAATTTAACATGTAACAATATCATGTAATTTAACTTTCAGTATCAAACATAAAAATAAATCAATCATGTCACATAAACACAATTTAATAAAGAGAAGTAAAAAATAGTGAATATAAATTAATTAGCTACATTATTCGTCCTAACAAATAATCTAGGCAAAAAGCATAAGAAATTAATTAATTAATTAAATTGACATCGATATTACCCTTTTATGGATAAGAAGATGGAATGAGCCCCAATTTGGTAGTAATTTTTCAACCCAAAAAATCAATTTTATTATCGTTATTTCATCATTTCAGCCGTCATTTTTTATTCCTTTCATAACAGGTGGATCCACTTTTCTCTCTAACAGTCAAAAAATCAATTCTTATAATCACTACCGATCGAGCCCTCTTCAATCTCCATCTTAAATCTCAAGAAACTTAAAAATCTTCACACTTGGATCTTCTCTTTATTTCTCCCAAAAAAATAAATAAATAAAATAAAATCTTATGTTTTTATTTGAAATTTAGTGATGTGGTTATTTGAGATATGGAATATACACACGAGAGTTAAAAAGAACTAGAGACGGATCGTAACATGTACATATCTGATGATCCATCTTTGTGGAATGTCTCTAAGAAATAATTTGTACAATACAGTTTCTCCCTCAAACCTTCTTCAACGATCACAAACACATAGTGAGTATCCTTCTAAACAATATGAATCAATTATGTATTACCTAAATTCAACCTAA